CAGCATGATGTGGGAGATAAAATACTGGTCGATTATCAACTGGCTTGATTTCATTGGCTGGTACTTCTTCTGCAATACCATCCTCCACATATTTGTTAATTGTGTCTTGGTAAATCTTCACTTTCAATGGGTCTTCAAGAAGCCTTTTCTCCAAACTATACAGCCTTCTTTCTGCTTGAATATAATTGCTCTTCAATGTCACTTGGTTTTCTTTCCAAGGTATGGAAACTTCATAACGTCCGTCCTTAAAGGTCAACGATTCCTTAAAATTGTTCAAAACAGTTTCTTCAGTTTTATTTAACAATGGCATATCATCAGACTTAATTCCGATAGACTCTAAATTCCAAAATGATTGTAACGTTTCATTCAGTTGATCATTTGTATTAACTTGGACGTTCATTGAAACAGTAGACTCACTGCTAGCAGTACCTGTTGGCCCACACAAGACCCAACCCAAAGTGGTACGAACAGCAACCGGTTCAGATAGATCGGCTTTCACAATGTCTCTTGTGACAAATGAATAATAAAAATCTAAACCAATGAGAACATCAATTGGCGTTTGCTCCCTGGAAATTCTTCTGGAAAGTTTACATCTTTCAGGTGCACCCAATTTGCTGGATTAACCTCGACCGCATCAGCTGGGTGACATATCTCTGCAGTGGTGAGTGCTTCAAACTCTCGTGAACACCTGGGCCTGTCCACAGGTGCTAGTGTGCAGGATATTCTCTTTCGAAGACATGCTTTATCTTGCTTTCCACCAAAGCCAGACACAGAAATTTGAACACTAGATCCATCGAGACCTAACTCTTCTATAACACTTTGCTTTATAAAGGAAGTTTGTGAACCTGAATCAAGAAAACAGCGAACAACCTTTGAGTTCCCATTAGAACCACACAAAACAGCTGGGACTGTTTGTAGAATCACCTTTACAATGTCATCAGTTCCAACTGAATTGGCTGTTACATTCTTTGACGCATCCTCTTGACGCATCCTCTTGACTTGCAGACTGACGTTCTGTGACTTCAGTCTTGTCTGGATGTGTTCTATTTGGGGGCAGCTGGTCTGTGTGGAGAAGGTGATGGTGACGACCTCTACAATGCTTACACAATGTCTTTCGACTACAGCTGTTCGACCTATGACCACCTTCCAAACACAGGAAACACAGACCTTTAGCACTAACTTTCCGGAATCTCTCTTTCACTGTCAATGAAAGGAAGTTAATGCAAGACCACACATTGTAATCCTTACCACAAACAACACACTCTTTTTCTTGAGTTTGAGTAGACGAACACAACGCTGATGTTGAAGACCTTCTGAATGATGGATTTTTGTGAAATCCTTCCTTCAAAGAAATATTCTTTGGAGGTTTGGATTCTACATTAGGGGCTTGTGTACTAGATTCCTTTGCCCTTATGACTTGCTCTAAGAAAGTAAAGAGTGTTTTTATAGGCAAACAGTCCTCTTTCTTATCTCCAATTTCAAGCTCCCACTTTTCCACAAGTTTTTTTGGTAGCTTATCAACAATCAAAGGAACCAATACTGGTGCCAAGGTTTCAGAGCTATACTTCTCTCCCATTGACTCAACCGAGCGAACATGCCCGACTACTTTATCATAAAACACTCTCATAGATGTTGCATCTTCAGCACTCAATCTGGGTAAATGGATCAAACCCCTCATATGGGCATCCAAGATCAACCTTGAATGACCAAATCTTTCCTTCAGAGTTGACAAAACAGATTCATAATTCTCAGCCACTATTGAAAATCCCTTAACCGACTCAGCAGCTACACCCTTCAGTGATCGCATAATGTACTATAGTTTTTGCAAATCAGCTAAAGCACTATTATCCACAATGAACACTTTAACAGACTGATAGTATGACTGCCAACACAATATATCCCCATCAAGTGTTGGTAATTGAATCTTTGGCAGTCTAACTTGAACTTTACATGTGGACCCCAAACTTGACCCACTCTCGTTAGACCCATTGCTGTTCTCAGCATGTGTATTAACACTTAAATACTTTGTCATTCTAGCCATATAATCCATAACTCTCATTTCATACTCATTGTGTCCTGCACATTCACTATCAATTTCACTGTCTTCCAAATATATAGAAAGCGAGGCTTGTACCTCTGTTAAATCATTCCATTTACTTAAAATATTATCTTTCAGTACCTGAACTCTAGCATGACTATTTTCCTCTGCAAACGCTTCGTCAATCAACTTTAAACTGTCCGTCACCGACTTCCTCATAAAACGTCGCTTCTTTTTCACGCCTTCTAGCTCTTTCGACATGCTTCCAACAAGCAATAAACACTATTTATTAGCGCCAATCGTTAAATACTAAACTTTTCTTCTATCCAACACGAAGGACCATGTTTTTAAACTTATTTTATTCACAAAATATACGGAAAACTGACGTGAAATTTAACATAAACTAAAATTTACAAAAATATAAAGTTACTTTCGTTTTGTACATATTCGGGGAGTCTGAGCCCCTGCAGTTCTTCGAAACAGTCTCTTTCTCAATACTAATCAATTTCTACTCTGGAACAACCCATTAAGCGCCAGCGCTCTCCCCTTGATCAGTAAAATTGTCTGGCTTAAAGTAGGGTGCATGATCAGGGCGCAATGCGACTTGGTAGGTTAAATATATTTACTTTACAGAATGTAAAAATTTACAACTTAGATAAAAGTTAACAAGGTAATGTCACAAGGTGAGATGAGGAGCATGTTGAGTGACATTAGAATAAATTTAACACTGAGTGACAGCACTCTCCCCCTGGACGAGTAAAATTGTCTGGCATTTGAGTAAAATAATAGAGCAATTAATACTAAAACTGATATTTGCTGTGTTGGTGTAGGTGAATAAGATATTTGTGATGTTACTCTGAGTGTATATCCACACCGGACAGGCTTGAAAAATATGCCTGGCCACGGTGGGAATCGAACCTACGACCTTTGGAATACTATCCCAATGCTCTGCCAACTGAGCTACGCGGTCAGGTCGGTTCGAGTATGTGAGATGATTCCCACCGTGGCCAGGCACATTTTTCAAGCCTGCCCGGTGTGGATATACACTCAGAGTAACATCACAAGCATCTTGGGAATCGAACCTACGACCTTTGGAATACTAGTCCAATGCTCTGCTAATAAACTGAGCTATGCGGTGAGCTCGGTTCGAGTATGTGAGATAGTATTCCATCTTATTCACCCGAGTACACCACACCAACACAGCAAATATCATGATTATTAGATTACACTGATATCGAAGGAACTAAACTCAGTTCCGAAATATCACATACTCGAAGCGACTTGACCGCGTAGCTCAGTTGGCAGAGCATTGGGCTAGTATTCCAAAGGTCGTAGGTTCGATTCCCACCGTGGGCAGGCATATTTTTCAAGCCTGCCTGGTGTGGATATATACATACACTCCTGAAGAGTAACCTCACAAGCATAATACTAAAACTGTCTGTACCAGTGTGGGTAGTACCAATGTGAAATTGATGTGCTGAGTGGTTATATTACTACCTGAAATAACAAAACTGCTTGTTTATTTCAGGTAGTAATATAATCACTCAGCACATTAAAATGATAGAGTATGCCGCATTGCCACTTAATGGTTAACAGGGTGCATGGGCAGATACTCTGATTAATTTATAATAACCAATTGAGTGGCAGCATTCTCTCCCTGACAAGTAAAATCATCTGGCATTAGACAGAGTAAAATAATAGAGTAGGCCACATCAGGGCGCATTGCTACTTATTAAAATGCATTCACATTTCTAACAAATGATAGAAATATGATTGACTTCCTAACTGAACAATTGTCCCTTGTCGAATCAACTTATTACAATTGTGGTCTTATTCTACTTGGAGACTTTAATAATCTTAATTGTCATCGTTTAAATACCCACTTCAGTCTAAAACAATTGGTTAAATTCCCGACTCGTGGAAGGAGAACCCTTGATCTAATTCTAACTAACTTGGCTAAATTTTACCTACCGCCAGTTAAACTTCCACCTTTTGGTCTCTCCGACCATTTTACTATCCTTTCGATCCCTAAACACAAGGTTGCAGGAAGAAAAAAATATGATATTTCCCAAGTTCGCAATCAACACCCGAGAAACAAAGCAGCTATCAGCACCATCATTACTGAATTTGACTGGTCAATCCTTGATTCCCTTTCGTCATGTGATGAAAAATGGTCTGCTTTTGAATCAATTTTTCGGTTTGGGATGGACATTCTCCTTCCCACAAAAACTATAAAGAAACGGCTCGATGACCCACCATGGATGACCAAACATTTGAAATCCTTAATTGAGCAACGTCAAAAAGCATTAGCGAAAGGACATGACCAGTTATTTAAAAGTCTTCGTAATTGCGTCAATAGGGAACGAAAACAATAACGGAGTAAATACTATGACTCAAAAGTCAGTCAACTTAAAGCCTCTGATCCCAAACAGTGGTGGAAATCTGTTAAGTACCTGTGTGGAATGGATCCAGTCAACCACAAGTATGATCTCCGACATCTTCAAAGCCTGTCACCCACTGGTGATGAAATTAATGAAACCAACGAAGGCAACGCATCTCTTTCACACTTGGCGAATACCATAAATCAAACCTTCCTAGAACCAATGAACATGTTCCAACCTCTAAATTCTGACCACTCCCAAGCCTTAAACGTGTCCGGCACCAGTAACCAATTACCATCTACAATTACCACCACAGAATCGTATATTTTCAAGAAATTATCCAGTATAGTACCTACGAAGGCTCATGGCCCAGACACTATTCCTGGTTGGCTTCTCAATGCCGATGTACTACTAAGTCCCATTTGCAAGATTCTCAATTCTTCTTATTTCGAAAATCGTTTACCCGCTGTTTGAAAGTTCGCAGATGTAATTCCCATTCCAAAACAGAAGCCTGTACGAACTGTAAACAAGGATTTAAGGCCCGTTTCGTTAACACCAATAGTCTCAAAACTAATCGAGGAAGTGGTAGTTGAACAGTTTATTAAACCGGCGATTCTCAAAGTGGTGGATCCTAACCAATATGGAACAGTGCCGAAATCATCTACCACGGAAGCTCTTATTAGCATAGTCCACAATGTTGCTAAAGCCACTGATGGCAACGGGGCCTTAGTTAGACTTGTTCTATTGGACTTTAGCAAAGCATCTCATCGATCATCAGTTACTTATGGTAAAGCTCCACTCTCTGGACGTTCCGCCGAGTGTTATAAATTGGGTAAGAGATTTTTTGACAAATCGTCAACAAAGAGTAAAGTTGGCCAATGACTGCTATTCAGAATAGTCCCTAGTCCCGGCAGGTGTACCCCAGGGAACCAAACTCGGTCCTTGGTTATACATTCTTATGATCAATGAGCTCAACACAGTCAGTAACAACCTCTGGAAATACGTAGACGATACGACTTTAGCCGAGGTAATACCCAGAGGAGGGGATAGTAATATTCAATCTGAGGTCGATGATATCCAAAACCAATCCAACACCCTGAAATTTACCCTCAACGAGGACAAATGTAAAGAGATGCGAATACAATTTAGCAGATACAACACTAATTACAAGCAGCCTCCCCTAGTGACAATCAACGGTAAACAGGTAGACTTGGTCTTCCAAAGTAAAGTTTTGGGTTTGACTATCAGCAGCGACCTTAAGTGGAATAGTCATATTCATAATATTGTTAAAAAAGCATCAAAGAGATTGTACTTTTTGCGACGTGCCAAAGTATCTACCACTAAGAAGATGTGTCATCTACTGCACTTGTATCCGACCAGTTGTCGAATACGCATCTCCTGTCTTTCATTATGGAATTCCCATATATCTGTGTAAAGACATTGAACGAATCCAGCGACGAGCCATGAAAATCATATTTCCCACCAAATCATATGCCGAAGCGCTCTCCCATTCTAAGCTTCTAACTCTTGAAGAGAGACGTCAAATTGCGTGCGACAAACTCTTCAAAGAAATAATGGAAGATAAAAATCACAAATTGCACCCACTCCTACCAGATCTGAATACTGACGTAGCGTATTCCCTGAGAACTTCGAGAACTTTTAAAATTCCCAAATGTAAGACTGAACGATTTAAAAAGTCTTTTATAATTGCTGCTAGTTCTAATAATTAAAGCAGCAGTCACTGAGGATTTTATATATTTCGAAAGTAACTGTTAGTTTTAACTGTAATTATATATTCTTAAATACATTAATAGATAGTATAATTAATTTAAATAGACAGTCCCATTAACTTAAAGTTACAATTATTTTATTATGTTTAGTATTTTTAAGCAGTAATAGACAATATAATTAACTTAAACCTTTCTTTTGTAAAATGTAACCGTTGTAATTCAGCTTCTTGGCTGCAAGATCGGTTTTTGAATAAATTGTAAATGAATTGTATGTTTGGAGTTTCGGCCCTGCTCATTTCACCCGTAGAGGGCTCATTATTTAAGTCATCTTTATTGTCATAAGTGCTGCTAAATTGTGGAGAAAACACTGCAAATTTTTGAGGAAACTTTATATCATATCCCAATGTTCGCGATTGAACCTCGCGTACGGCGGTTCAAAAAACTCCAGAATACCGCTTGAAAAAAAAACAATTTTACATTATCTTCTTTTGAAACATCACATCCAAGTATTCTTTTGGCTTTTAGAACTCTTTTTATGCTTTTAACTAAAGCAAAGTTCACACTTTTGTTTCAAAAAAGAGTTCCATATAAAACACAACGTTCGTTCGTATTTTGAAGTCACACGAGTTTTAGTTTACATATATACGAAGAACGTAACCCCCGGAAATAAAACCCTAGGGAGCCACCTTAATTAAGGGAAATTAAACATCAACCTGTGGCATCTCTACAGAAACTATTAAACCATCCATAATACGTTCCTAAGTTAGGTTTCTCAAACTGCAAATTGCCAGAGCCGAAATGACTAGCCAACCACGAGTTGAAACACTGACATTATTCCACAACTGTTGGCACAATTGAATTACTGTTCAGCCAGTGCATGGAAGAATAG